GGAAAAGTGCAGGAAACATCATCTTCAATCCCTGCCCTCCAGAAACACAGAGAGAGGAGAAGGACCAATCTCTTCTCCCTCAAGGATGTTTGTCCACCTGTGCTGAGCCACTATGAGCTTGTTTTTACAAGATAGTAGCTCATCTTCCTGGCTTCTCTGCAAAAGTGGAGGGTTGCAGGTTGTATTTGGGCATTGTGAGTCACTGCTGATGGAAGAAGAGAAGTGAGAAGAGTTGAGCTCTTGGTTAGTAAAGGAGGAACAAAAATAGTAATGCAGGATCTTTCCATGGGGGCTGCAGAGGTGCTTAAATGCAGTGAGTGCTCTTCTGCAAGCAGATCTTTCCCCCAGATCCTGTGTCAGAGAATGCAAGAGGTAAAACAGGTCCAAAAGGCAGCTCTTAAGTGTCTAGATTAATCAGAGAAAGCTAGCATGTAAAGACAGTTATTCTCTGCTTGACCAAGGTGGGCACCAATGGGGAGCAGGTGAACACCAAGGGCTGCATGCCAGCCAGAAGTTTAAGACCAGCTGCCTTGGAAGAAATAAAATTGCCTAAGGCATCCTGGTGATGTGAGTGTCGTGGTTCAGAGTGGGATGGGAAAAGATGGGAGTTCCAACCAGGTAGACTTGTACATTGTCACCCAGACCAAAACTAGGGGTAAGGATTTTCTCCAGAGAGCAGCTGAAAGATGAAAAAAATGGCTCTTTCTACTTTTCCTTTTTCGGTCTTGTGACTGTGTTGGAGGGGTTGGAAATACTGGTATCTAGAAGAACATTTTGGCAACTGAAGCTGGCTGCTGCTAGTCCAAAATCTCTTGAGATGTTTCCCTGCGAGGGTCAATGAAATGAAGGTGAAAGGGTGTTCCAGATCCAGTCAGCCACTGTGGGCCCTATAAAAGGTCAGCCAAGCCATTCCCACATTTTTATGTGTTTGATGACAAAAGAGTTGGGAGTCACTAAACTAAGGTGCAGAAAATGTTGTTTCCAGCTATACTGAACTTAAACCTGATGACTACATCCAATGCCAATGGCAAGTGCAAGTGGCAATAGAGTTTTGTTACAACTGAAATCTATGTCTCTGTCTACTAGGACTGTAATCAAACATTTGCATGCAACTTGGACAGAACTACTCTGCATTATCTGGATCTAGAGAGATGCCAAAACAGAACCTTTGAGAGCCTTTTATAGTCCCTGCTACACCAAAGAGGGGCAGGTACCAGCCTGTCAGGGCACCACCAGCCCTATCTGTCCCTGCCCAGCACCTCCTGGGCTCCCCCAACCCTGTCCAGGTTCCAGGATCCCATTCCAGTTCCCCTGGATCCATCAGCCCCTGCCTCTGCAATGCAGAAATAGGGCCAATCTCAAGCTCCCTATAGCCCTGCCGAGCCATGGTATCCAATGCCTGGGACTGAGCCCCTCACCAGGCCTGATCCTGATCCCACCTGCAGACTGACATCCTGCCCTTGCCTGTGTGGAGGGAGGGAGCTGAGGTTTGTGGCAAAATAGAAGCTAAATTGAGCAAAAAATTCCATTGCAGTTCGAACAGGTTTGCTTTTTTTCCCCTATGAAATTAGATTAATCATCTCTGAACCATTTTTCTGCTGACAGGAAGTGGTAAGAGTTAACACATATAGCTGGGCCTCAGCAGGAGAAGGGTAGAAAACATGAATCAGACAAAAACTGGAGGATTTAAGTAACTGTATTTTTGAGAATTTTGAACAAGTGACTATCAGTTCTCTTGTTTCCAAAATGGGTTTACATGCTTGGGAAAAGCATGGTGATGTGAAATGAATAAATGCAGTGCAGTTAAGTGTTCATGTGGAAAAGTCATAAGGAAGGGGAGGAATAGGAGAAAAAGTTCAAGAAGAATTATCATCAGTATGAGAACAAACAGCTGAACACGGAACCTCTGTAAGGTGCTCTTCCTAAAGCTTGTAATGTCATCTGTGGTGGATGCTATGCTTTGTCCCCTAGAGACAGGTTAAGCAGCACAAAAGAGCCATGTAATAGTCAAAAAGTTACCCTAATCTTGCAAAAATTGCTTATTGCCTTGCAGTCATTAAGTTTGGTTACAATATCTTTTTTCAAGTTAGTAGGCATATGTTACGGGTTTTAGTAATCTACACTTTTCATGCTGTCTGGGAAGTTCTCTAAGGGACTTTTCAGATCTGATCTTTATCTCATTGATAGCACCTGCAAAAAATTGTTTTATAGGATTTGCTAGCAGATTTTTGTTTGACCAGATATCTCTGTCTGTACTGACAGTGCATGCAGAGATCAACAGCCTGGAATACCACTGAGATCCTGTTGTCCTTGGTGTTCACCTCTTCTAAGGCGAGGTAGCAGAGTTTGCTGTAATTGTGATGGCAAATGCATAAGAGGGAGGGAGAATCTCTCCCAGAAAACATCCTCCCTATCTGTTCTTTTTATGTCTGCATTGCAGGGAAATATGTACTACTTCCATGTATCTTAAATAAGCTTGATCATGACTAGAATAATGACCTCTGGTGTATAATTCAGGTTTTCATGCTGCTAATCACACAAGGAATAGCAGTATTTGGGGGAGGAGGGTGAACCATGAACCAGTCCTTGTATATTCACTACTGAATGAGGTGACACTGTATTCATATCTCCCTGTATGCCTTGATTTTTCTCTGATACTTCTGCATCCTCCCCCCTAATAAACATGACTTGAGTGCTAGTATGTGAAATGGTCACAAGGAAAGGGAACAATGGAGTAAACATAGAAGTGGAAAATCAAATAAGTAGAAGCCCTCAAAATAATTATAAAAAAATAGCATCAAGTTGCAAAATGGCCATTTAGTATTTGACAGACAATGATAAACTCAAAAGTGGAGTAAGACAAGGACTACAACAATGTGCTGCAATGTTGCTCTGGCATACACTGAGAAGTTTTTCCTCTGGAGATGGTTGGTGTTGTAGTTGTCACTGCTATACAGGATTTAAATATATAGCTGTATTCCAGCTGACTATGTGTGTATAAGTAGAACAGTCTTGAGAATATCAAGTCACAGGTTGGAGGAAAGTGTCTATTGTGATGCATTATTAGTCTTGTAAAATAAGAGTTGCATAGAATGGGGGAAATTTTTTTATTGTGAAGTAGAAAGGCTTCTGTCCCAACACAAGTATTGGCATTGGTAATTGAGAAGAGTTGGGGAGTATAAAAAGCTTCATCTTAGAGACACTGGAACAAGTTTAGTTTTTAAAGGACGTCAGGGATGTTACCAGACCTAGATGGGATGGAGCACACATGCATTCATCCACCTGATTTCAGGAAACTTTAGGGGATGTTAATAATTTCACTATTCAATACTTTATTCCTACAACTACATGGAATAAATGTGATACAGTCAAGTCTCTTGTCTTTCTAATATTCCCGGTCAACCTTGCTCATCCCACTTCCAACATGCTTTGAAAGCCCAGATCCAGATTTGCTGAATTTGCTGTCTTATTCACACTCTGCCTCAGTCATACCTTCTCAGCTAGTGGACTTCAATGAAAAGGAAGAGTTAGAAAGAAAACATAAGTGAGAGAGAAAAATGTGTCTATTTTCCTAAAGTCCTTTTTACCATAATTATAAAAGACAAGGTCTAAGTGCCCATAGAGGATTTTCTGAATGGGACTTTGTGAATTCGTGGTCTCCCAAAATCATCAAGAGGTTCATTTCACTGTCCTGTGGTGGCATGAGAAAGAGGAGTGAGATGATGTTTTTCCGCTCATAGATTTTGCATTTTATTGAGGGACCTGGTTGGCAGCATACCTGAACTGTGCAAGTGCAGTTTGTATACATCAGGTACAAAACTAGCAATCTGACAGTGCTAAACTATCTGATGGCCATTAAACTTCAAGGTAAATGAGTTAGGAACTCCTGACAGAGACACAAAGATATATACGAAGTTTTAGCTGATAGGAAGGTATGTGTGCTAATAGGGTAGTCACCTCATCACGTATAAAGAGCTTTGCATCACTTTATGCTGCAGCCAAAGCTTTTATGTACAGAAACTGTTGTGACTTGATCTGGAACCTGGCAAAAGAGCAGTGAACAAAAATTGCAATTTTTCTTTGCAGCTTGGGATGAAAATATGAATGAAATGGTGCTTTCACATCTTTTGCAGATTCAACTTCTGCCAATTTTTTTCCCTGTTAGTGAATCATACAAACAGATTTTACAGATTTAGAATTGTGTGCTTTATTTAGAGTGTTTTTGCTTCTGTGTGCCAAAGACTTATATGAAGCTCTGTGGTCTGACAAAAACCTTTTAATCTTTGGTCTTCATGTGCCAAATTATTCCACTGATATTATAGAGCCTTTTGCTATGTTAACAATAGCTGAGACTGTCAGAGAAGGTAGCCCATTCTGAGGTGGATAAAGTATCTGCTGTGCAATACTTCATGCATAGAAGTGTGGAAAGTCTGGAAACTTTAGGTTTGGAAGTACGGGAAAGAAATATCCCTAACTGAGTGTTTCACAGTCGTCAGAGGTACAAACTTCTGTAGGAGAAGCAGTGGCAGAGCTTGTGAGTGTGCTACCTCACTCTCTTCGAAACCATTTTGTTTTAAAGAATGAGATTCTAACTGTTTGCTTTCTTATCTAATGTAAAAAGGACCCTCTAAAGATTAAGACAGAGTTTCCTAACTCACAAAGAAAACTAAAACTTTTACAAAGAATAACAAAACTTTCGCTCTCTCGAGGTCCGTTTAATGGCAGGACTGGGGATTTCTTGTCCCCCAGCCACGCAGATGCCTCTTTTTTCACGAGAAGACACCAACAGGCGAAAATAGCCGCTTCCACGGCCTCACAGATGTAGAAAAGGGGCGACTTCGTGACAGATAAAGGAATAAAGAGCCATTCCATTTTACCCCGAGAAACACAAGCAGGAGTTCGGAGCGCCGGGCGGGGCGGCAGGAGCCAATCAGCGCCCGCCGCGCTGCTATAAAAGGGGCGCGGCCGCAGCCACCACCGAAATTTGGCTCGTCAGTGGCATGTCCGAGACCGTCCCCGCCGCCCCGGCCCACGCCGCCAAGAAGCCGAAAAAAGCGGCGGCCGGCTCCAAAGCCCGCAAGCCCGCGGGGCCCAGCGTCACCGAGCTCATCACCAAGGCCGTGTCCGCCTCCAAGGAGCGCAAGGGGCTCTCCCTCGCCGCGCTCAAGAAGGCGCTGGCTGCCGGTGGCTACGATGTGGAGAAGAACAACAGCCGCATCAAGCTGGGGCTCAAGAACCTTGTTAGCAAAGGCACCCTGGTGCAGATCAGAGGTGTAGGTGCGTCTGGCTCTTTCCGCCTTAGCGAAAAGCCTGGAGAAGTGAAGGAAAAAGCTGCCAAGAAGAAAATAACTGCAGCCAAGCCCAAGAAGCCGGCAGCTAAGAAGCCCACTGGCGCCGCCAAGAAGCCCAAGAAGGCAGTGACAGTGAAAAAGAGCCCCAAGAAAGCCAAGAAGCCGGCGGCCAGCGCGGCCAAGAAAGCAGCCAAGAGCCCCAAAAAGGTGACAAAGGCTGCCAAGCCCAAAAAAGTGGCGGCAGCAGTGAAGAGCCCTCCTAAGGCAAAGGCGGTGAAGCCGAAAGCAGCCAAGCCGAAAGCAGCGAAGAAGGCAGCCCCCAAGAAGAAATAAATCCCCTGTGGAAGAAAAGGTATTTCTCCACACTTTAACCCAACGGCTCTTTTCAGAGCCACACACTCTTTCTTAGAAACGCTGAAATGCTGTTTGCCGCTGTTTTGTGGAAGAGGGGAGATATTTCGGGGAATGGTGGTGTGCTGGTGCAAGTGCCATTTCATTTCGGCAATGGCCACCCGGAGGAGAAAGATTCAGGGTCGCTCAAATTTCCCCTGCATAGAAAGGGGAGGGAAACACCGCACTGGTGGCTTTAAAATGCCGATACGGCATACGGATTGGGTACGGCCTCGGGAAGGCTGATCTGCTTCCTGAGAGCGCTGACAGCCCCGCCCCGGAGCCGGAGTGGTTTGAGCACGGGGCTGCGGCTCGTACTAACTGGGGGTGTGCGATTATATCAGACAATTTTAACATGCACCGCGGGTTTTTGAGACTTTAATGAAATTCAGGCTCTTTTTCTGACTTTGTAGGTGGCTCTGAAAAGAGCCTTTGGGTTTCTGTTGCTTAAATTT